AAAATCTTCCCAGCTGTCTTCCATATATTTGTACATCAATCATATCAGAAACTATTCCAGCTCAGGGCAGGGGGAAATTCCCACTGGGATTACAATGCAGTTACAATACTACATAGCCATGAGGCAACCTATTTAACAGTGTCAAAGTCCCTGCCGAAGGTACCAAGCAACTCAGAGGCTTTCATTTCTCAAAGACCCATAGCCAGAGATCAAGCTGCACAAATAGAACTAACTTTCCTTCCTTCCTTCCTTCCTTCCTTCCTTCCTTCCTTCCTTCCTTCCTTCCTGTTGAGCAATGTTTTAGAGACCACTACTGCCTGTGATATTGGTGGAAAAATAGCAGCAACAGTAAATTACTCAAAGCTCCATTTTCATCCGCCACTTTTAAATAAAGTGTATTTTTTTAAAAAATACACACTTTATTTAGACATCTTGGTGCATGGGAATGGTTCTAACATTCTTAGCTGAATCTATGATGAGCCATCAAAATAAGTTATAAAATGCATGAGAATTGGCTGCTGCCATTTGAAACATTCACCACATTTGCTGAAATGTTGGCCACTATTCATTGTTATGTACAGAATGTTCTACATGCCCAAAGTAGTACTGCATTCCCTAGACAACAGTTCTCCATGCCAAACATCAAACTACTTAGGAGGCCTGTGGCAATTTCAAAGACAGCTTATGAGGCCTTAACATTGATTAAATTTCTGCTGTGTCCCAGGTGATACCATTGTTCCAGTCATTTCTCAGCTTTGCCAAGAGTACAATTTGTTTTGGTTACTGGAGTCTCTAAAATCCCATGATAATGAACAAATACATCCAAAATCAATCTAGAAAATATGATCCATTTTCAACCCTGGATTTTCCATTCTCTATCTGTTTTCTAGCTTAATAAACTATGAATAAATGTAGAATGTTTTAACAGGTAGAAAGATAAGGAGACTGTTGAAGTCATGTCAGGCGCGAACAACCAGACCCACATATGCAGAATTTGTGCTAACTACTTTATTACATTCTGTGTACAATACAGGAATCTCATGAATCTGGCAGCCTACTTCTGGGAACAATTAGATAAGACTTCAAAGAACTTAGGGAGGATTGGCTCTAGCCCTTTTAAAGTTATGCAGTGACTCCAGGAAGTTCTGCACTTGATCCCTCCTCCTTGCCGGTTGGGTGCTTCCTAACAAGTCATCCTATTACAATGTTGTTTCTCAAAATGAATATGTTCTCTTAAGTCTAATGGAATCTGTTATGGATCCTGAACCTAAGGTACAACTATAACAATTGTAATGCAGCTTTGAAAAGTCAAATTCACCTCTGACTGGCAACAGTGGATAATTTATGTATTATCTTTATGAACTCATGAGCTACCTTTTATAATAAAGAAATAAGGACTTTCAGTTTGTTACTAATGTTACATAGATTATTATTTTTATGGATTGGATATCTTCTATTGGGTATTTATTATTATTTAGATGCTAGGTATGGAGTATTTATTTTGATTAGGTTAAGTGATAACCACTAGTGAAAAGTCATTCAATCAACTTCATGGAAGAATGGGAATTTGAAATTGGATTTCCCAAATTCCATTCCAATACCATAATGAAAGTAAAGCAGCCATCCAGCAGAAAAATATATTCTCTTTAAAAGGTATATCTGAATTACTTAAATAGTATCTTTCAAATTAAAGATTCCTTAATGCCAACAATGAACTACCTGGTACCTCCAGATACTTTGATTAACAATTCCCTTATTAACCAGGCTATCTTTGGGGGTGGGAGCTGAAGTTAAAAATATACACAGGTTTCTTTATTATATTATAAGCAAACTATTCCACATTTCATCTTGTCTACAAATGTTCCATTTTTAATTTTATATGCAGCAACATCTATATCACAAGCACACACATTTACAGAGCCATTAATCTTTAATTAAATGAGAAATATAGGATTTCTTTAAAAATGTTGCCTATATAATTAAGGCAACATTACATAACTAAGTCCAGGATAAATGTACCAGAGTCCAATAAAATAATGAAATACAATACTGAATTCAAATGCACTTCTACAAAAGCTTTCTCCATTTTCAAAAGGACAGAAAACCAAATAGACCATCCTATTGGAAGAAAGAGGAGGAAACAGAGATGATTCTCCCCTCAGCCTGAACTGCCCTGACTTTGTAAATTAAAGTAAATATACATAGTTTCTCAATCTCAATGTTCTTGAAGAAGAGTATACACCATAGTATAATTACTGTTATTTTTTTTAAAGAAAAGGTTCATGAACACATAAAATATAAGAATAAACAGAAATATTTATTTTCTCATCTTACTGAATGAGGTTTTGCAGGGATGTTTAGTAAGATTTTGTTGTAATTCTTTGTACCTTACACCAACATTAATTAATCAGATTTGTTCCCATTCATACTACTACATTTTATGCAGCATATCATCCAATACAAAAGCATGCAAATTATGTAACTGAACTTATTTAACGTTAAATGACTTTAAAAGGATTAAGAGCTAAGTTTAAAATGATTTCTAAAAACCCAACAAGTTATCTATCACTCTACTGGTTTGAAGTCAAAAATAAATACATTTCCTGAAAACAGTTGAATAGAATATTGCCTGCATATGTTGTCTTTTAAACTTGTTAAGCAAAAAAGATGAGCTCCTTTTTTTAAAAAAATGGAGATAATCTTTAAGAACGAACTTAACTTGCATTGATATGGCTATATATCTAACACATTTATTCATATTCACTGGGGTGCCATCACTCACATTTATTTACATCTCATCTTTCCATCCTATTATTTAATAATATTTAAAAATGTCAAAATTTTCAAAAACAAAAGCAAAACATTAAAAAAACTAACATAAACTATCATAAAGCAATTCAGAAAATTTGGCTGAAAAGACAGTGGAGAAAGTGGGGACAGACACAAAGTCTGGAATGTATTCCACTGAAAGGCATGTAGGAAAAAGCCCACTTCCTACATGTAAGAGAAATGGCTGTACAATCAGGATCATCTTCAAGAGGACTCTCCCCCTATATAACTTAATATTTGAAAAGCCACCTCTCTGATAGCCAGCTCCTAATCATCAAGAGTTGAGCAAGTCATGATTCTGATGCACATTTTAAGTTCAAAATATCTGTTTTGAATTTCAAATAGATTATATCTGCCTCTCTAGAACAGAGGTCCCCAACCTTTTGGGCACCAGGGACCGATTCCATGGAGAGAGGTTTTTCCATGGACCGGAGTGGGCATGGCTTTGTGTGCTGTCTGCATCCCGCAGATGGGGCTTTGCTTGTTTGTGCAGACTGGTTGCTGGCATGCTGCGGACCGGTACTGGTCTACCGACCAGGGGTTGGGAACCCCTGCTCTAGAACACAGGATTCTCTTGTTTCAAGCTTAGAACAGTATTAGAATGCTTCTGGTGAACCGATTTTGAACCCGATACAGTCTGTTCAAACAAAAAAAAGAATGCAGTATTGAGATCAAAATATTTTCTAGTAGTTTGTATACTATTATTTGACAGTATCAATCCTAACTTAGAACAGAGATCTACTATGAAAGTGTTCTTACAAAATAGATTTCCTAATAGCATTTAAGGTGGTCATCTTTCATATACACTATTTTTACTAGTAGTGAAAGTATATGTTTTATCTGTGAATAAATATTTTCGGATTCAATTTCTAAAATGAACGAAGTCCTGGGAATGAGACTTACTGCACCTCATTACTGGTTCGTGTAGGAGCTTGCCAATAAAAGTACACAAAATATGAATTTTCAGGTAAAGGTCATAGCTAGTAGTTCTGTCAGATGCTATGACTACCAGCCTAGAAACTTTTTCTAATCCTATTTTGGTAATATTTACCTACTTAAGTTTTTTGATTGATTTCTGATTATATGCCATCAAGTTGTTTTCAACTGGTATAATGAAATGATTATTCAGAGCTCAGTTGTAGATAAGGTTGTGTGTTAAAAGCATACAGTAATATATTAAAGCTGATTACAAGGTGATTATATAAAGTTTACACATAGCAAAAAGGATACAATTGCCAAATGAAATCTTGCTATTATCTGTTGATTTGTAATGAATTTCATAAAGATACCCTGTGTTCTGCCTGAAAATAGTCCAAATACAGAAGTTTCCAACTTATCCCCATTTATCACAAAATCCAAATTATTTTTTCAAGAAACTGAATAAAATCAATATCTGTTAAATACCATGGTATTTGGTTCATAAAGTTGGCTGTTCCTGAAATCAGAGCTCAAAAGGAGACAAGTAGTCTCTTTGTACATTGACTTGTCCAAAGAATAGCTATCAAACTAGACCCTTTTTATTCTAAAATCAGATTTTATTCTTCAGAATTGTAATACAACTAGCCGCACTTTATTTGTTGCAAATACGAAACAACATTCCTTGCAATGTATTCAATGGCAGACTGCAGTTATCTTTCAGCTTCAGGAACTCCCAACTTTTAATTAAGCAGCTAATTAATAGTACCTTTGATCATGCCTATAGCAATCCTGCCAAACCATCTTTATACTAATGTCAAATTAATAATTCAGAAATATTTTTTTCTTGTGTATGTGGATTGTTTCAGAATGGGGTTCATAAATTACTGTAACTAATTAATTGTACCTCAAAATCCCATTTTGAATCTGACTTTGCAACCAGTTAATCTAAACAGAAACAACTGTACAATGCATCTTTACATTTTTCAGCATTTCATATCCACACAAAGCCTGTGATTGAAATTCTCTAAATCCTCCATACCACTCTTAGTGGATGACAGTTTATTGGAAATATGGAGGAAAAAATAATTTCCTCTCTTGTCATATCAGCAAAAATATATCATTGGACTCTATCCACCTTTTTTGTGGATTTTGAAGTAGATCATAGAAGTCAGGCACCCTCTTTAGAATTATATATCTGATGTTCTAAACTCTTTAAAGCATGGGAGATATTTATATAATTGAGAGTTACTTACCTGGATCAAATTCCATCCTATTAAAGATTCAGCAATGATGGATGTTACAGTTGTACATACACCACCAAAAACCATTAGATGTGTAGGTCCATATTTTATTGCATCATAGAAGGCTTTAAGACCCTTTGCATTGTCACACTAGGGAAAACAAACAAAAAAATCATATGTAATTTAATAATAATTTTTCTCTTTGATATTTAAGGATTCCCATAATACCATAATTGAGAGAAAGTAGTCAGCAAGCAGTGACTATTATACTAGCTAGTTATTTTTTGATTATACTAAATGGCAATATCCTGCTCTTCTATGCCTTAACAAAAAAAATTCTTTACATCATATATAGCATGATATGTAAAGAAAATGTCTATCAAAATCTATGTTCTACTTTTAAATGTAATTTGCACTTTAGCCAAACTACTTATTATTGCTATTTCATAACAATATTCCTTACAATCTATTCCTGCAACAGATCTATTGTTGTATCACTGTTTAGATATGTATATAAGTATTTATATATTGTTCTTCAACTTCTCATTTAACTCCACTCCCCCAAAATATTCAGTAAAGATAATAAAGCAGCAATAAAACACCTACATTAAAAGAAACAACACCGATCATAAGCAAAGCAACATCATGTATATAAAGAAATAATTTTAAATCTTTCTGAAGACTAGGTTTAAGACAAGGGAAAAGATAATTAAAGATCCTTTTCTAATGCTTAGGGGTTATAATTGTCCCATATATTCAACAATTTCACCTTTCACAGTGACAGGACACATGACAGAAGTTTCTGAATTGGCAGAAAAACTATGAAGGAGTAGACAGTCTCTCATTTAGCATGCCCCAAACTTCATTCACATTAACTAATATCTGAATTGGTCCAAGAAACCCAAAACAGTCACATAGAGAGGTTCTGTTAACAAACTATGCTTAGAAGGAGCTGTAGTGAAAACCAACAACAGACACAATTCAAACCCAAATTCCTAGTCACTGCTTTACATCCAGAAGTGGTGCTTCATCCCTGCAGTGCAAAGAGGCTTCTTTTACAAGCCAAGCCAACCAACTCAGCTAGTACTTTAGCAGAAGGTATGAAAATAATAAATAAGTTAAATAAATACATAATAAGAAAAGAAAATATGTTCCTTATTTGAAGCTAATAATGGGAAGCTACCCGTTGGTGGGAACTTCTGATTTTTCCACTCTACAGTTAACCAGCAGGCAGTGGAGGAGAAACTGACCCATTGAAGTAGATCCTTAGCAACCACAAAGTGGCAGCATAGTTGCAACTGAAAAAGTTTAAAGGCTGGAACATTAACTGTTGATGGTTGTGTACTGAAGCTAAACAAACTCCTTCCTGCTCAGAGCCTACACATTGCTGGAGTTAGTCAGAGACCAGCTGAAACTGATTTTTCAGAAACATATTAAATATACTCTTCACTAACTGGATACCCCCAGTTTACCTTTCCCTTGTTAGCTGCTATTAACTTGCATTACCAGCTATTTTAAAGTATCCCTATGTTAAAATACCCATGTTTCCTGAAAATAATCTATTTAACTGTACCTTGTAACAAATATTGGTTTCTAATAAGTTATATATACAATCTATATATACAATCTGAAATGTGCCTTTTCTACAATGGAATTTATAAATAATAGAGATTTTTCTATACAAACATAAGGATTCCAAGGGCATTTATTGAAAACCATGAAGTAGAAAGAAAATGATATTAGGTAAGGCAAATAAATTACCCACTCCTCAGATCCACTTTCCCAGAGGAAATAAATGGTTAGCCATTAAATATTTATTCCCAAAAATGTTGATTATGGCACGAAAAGATGGAACCAACACTAAAAAACAAAGTTGCTGAGAGGTAATACTGGAGAAGACAGTAATACAGTACATTAATGGTAATTTTATTCAGAGAACACAGCCTTTGTACAATAAAATTATGATGCTCAATTCAATCAATAGTTCTGCTGCAATAATCATATGATTATTGAATTTTGCCTAAGTCTACCTACAGGGTTATATTTCTGCCCTTTGTAGGTTTGCTTCTGCTAATTCTGGTATTGTAAGTAAATAGGATGCCTACTATAAGTGATGACTGTTTTCTGAAACAAATTCTAAAAGGAAACATGCTACAATTTAGTATTAGCAGTAGGATAGAAGGAAACACTGAAGTAAAAGCAATAGCACTTAGACTTATATACCTCTCCACAGTGCCTTATAGCACTCTGAGTAATTTACAATGTTACCTTATTACCCCCAACAATGTGGGTCCTCATTTTACCAATCTTGGAATGGAAGGTTGAGGCAATTCAGTCGGTTAGGATCGAACTCCTAGCTCTGAGCAGAGTTAGCCTGCAATACTGCATTCTAGCCACTGCACCTTCACAGCTCCTCATGGTAGCTCTTTTGTAGCAAGATGTTGAACCATTATAATTTTCTTTTGTGTCAACTGGCAACCACTAGCAACCTGTAATTTATTCCATTCTGTACTTTTCTTTCTATCTTGCTCATGGGAAGTGTTGCGTCTAGATATGCAATGGGGGAAACCCCAATAGCTTGTGGGACCACGGGTTCCATCCCAAGTTTTTCTTTGAGGACTGGCCACGGCCAGGGTTCTTTCGAGTCAGGGAGTGCTTGCTCCATAGCTGAATGAGCCTCTGTATTTCCAACTGATTTTTGTGGACACATTTCCAACAACAAATAGGCACATTTCCAAAAATTCGATCCAGTGAATTAAAGGTTCTTTAGAGGTTTGGGTATCTAGCCATTCTTGCCTAGACATCATAATGCAATCCCCTAGTGACAGTTTCAGCAACATCAGTCCCTTCCTGTACCAGTGTACTTCATTGTTCCTGATGAGGGGGACAGCTCCTGGAACTCCTCCTGCATGCCAACACACCTCCAGCAGATAACCATACTTAATATTCCTGCCAGTCTTCTTGGACAACTTTCAGAGTAGTTGTTTTGGATTAAAAATGGACCCTACTTCCTTCTCCCAGGGAACCTACTGGGAATAAGCCACCTAGACAAGACTATTAAGTGGACTATAGTCCAGATCCAAAATGGCTCAATTTCTTTTCATTCCACAAAACTTTCCAGGACTGTATGCTTTCATTACTGTTGTCCCCTTGAATATCCAAATATTCAAGAAGGATTTTCTACTGCAGTTCCTGTTTCCTGGATTCAAGAGAATATAATAAATTGGAGCACAGTTTTTCCTAAATTAAGAGAAAGCCTGGTGAGTTTTATCAGAAATTAGTTCAGTCAGTTGCCATTCACAATTAACTGGGTGACATTAAAATACTACTTTCTGATCACACCCTAGGCAAAAATAGGCTCTGTCTCAGAGAATATCAGAACCACCTCTTAGATTCTATAAGAGGTGGTTCTGATATACTGCCATAGTTCCTGCCCAAAATGATTTAGGTAGATTAAAAACATACAGTAAAACACATCAGAGACCATCCTGAAGATTGGTTTGCTTGCTTTTGTATTGCATTTTATCCCTATTCTGGAGTGAATCTGAATGCCTTTGCCGATTGCTCATTAGCTGCTGGGATTATGTTTAGGGGACTTCCACCTGAAATCAGCAAAAGGCTTATCAGTGCAATCTTAGATTGGAGAAGATGACCTAGTTATTTTAGTGGCTGCTCACATTCAAATACAGGGCAAAATATTCATTTGTTAATAGACATTGATACAATCTATTCTACTTTGCAAATTTCTTCTTTGCTCAATGTTGTCACCTATGGAAATTCTATTTACATGAGGAGGGTATGGAAAACTTCTGCTCCTTAGTGTCTTTCTGTGAGGATCTACTTACTACTGAACATATCCTTAGTAGTTATAGTCTTTTAAACTTCCTGGATGGGACCTCTTATACAAACAAGAATGCTACAATTTATTGCACTTGAGATAAAGTTTTATTTGGACTTGCCAGAAAATAATCATTGCTGAGTATTTTGTTAGTCCCCACTATGAGAGGGAAAGAGAAGGTCAATCAGGTGGCCAACTGGAGGATCTTGCCTTTTGTAATGTGGGTCTCTTGAAAGGGGTCACCCTGATCAAAATTAAGATCTCTTCCTTCATCCCTCCAATTATCACAGGTCAGCTGATAAGGAAGATCATTGGTGTTCTTGCTTAACCATTAGGACAATATGAATTATTTATTTGTTAGATCATTCAGATTAATCAGTCAGACAAATAGAGGCTTTTATTTGGTCTAAAATATTTTCCACATTACATACTGTGACAATCATATTAACAAGTTCAAAATACACACATTAGCAAGGAAAAAAAGTATTTCATGTCGGTTGTGAATGTGTTTGAAGTATATTAATGCATATTTACATTTTACTGTCTTTAAGCCAAGAATATGCCATTTAATTTTACAAGCTTATCAAGAGAAAAAGAGTATCTTTTCACAATCTAAAACTGCTTTCAATAATTATTTCATCCATGTAGAAATGTTGTGATGGAATGGTTTAAATTTAAATGTTTTAAATTTGGATATAGACCACAAGCACTAAATTAATCTATATATGCATATGTTATTGCATTTATGGAACCAGCTATATCACATTGAATACAGAAATTTAGAAGCAGAAATTATTTGAGATCAAATGGTGGGAGCATGCATTAATACAATATTGTGCGATAAATACTCACAATAGGAAGATTTGACATTGGATTAAGAATGCAGAAGAAACATGTCTATTGCAGCAATGAATAGCATATCTAAAGATATCACCTATGCAATGAATATTATATTTTAAAGAAAAGGATATTTAGCATTGAGTTTTTGGATGGGTTAATCCTCCTGGTATGCAATCTGGGGTCTTCCTGGTGGTGCAGCTCCTGATTGATGAGGAGGTGTCAGCTTTGCATAACTCTATCTAGTGTGCCACTTGTGCCCTTTCCTAGATCGGAGGTCCTTCAGTCAGTCACTCATGCCCTGGTCATGCCCTCAAAACTTGACTACTACAATTCAGTCTACATGGGACTGCCTTTGAAGACCATCTGCAAACTTTGACTGATTTAAAATGTATTGGCATAAGCAATAATGGACTTGCCTCAGTATGCCCATGTAACACCTCTGTTTCACAAGCTACACAGTTTTCAGTTCACT